CGTTTTTTCCTTAGTTTGATTTCGTTTTGTAAATGGCCTTAAGAAAAATACTTACAATAAAAATAAAAATTAAATAATTTAAAATGAATAAAATATACAGGATATACATACATGTTACAATATATGCACGCTTATTTTCTAGAATATATATGCAAAAATAACAATGACTCGTAGGAGAGCCCCCAGGTGCGGATAATCTAATTAGAATTTATATATTTAGAACCATTTTTATATTCTTAAATATTTTGGATGTAAATTTAAGAAGACTAAAAATTATACTAACTCAACGAAAACTATAAGTGAAACACCTATTTAATACCTTCTGTTTCTTAGTAAAAATGTAATATATCCAAATAAAGCATCCAAATTCTCAAAGACATGTTTATTAACAAATTAATACATGTAATAATCAAGAATTCGTTTGTTGAAAATATGTGATAACAATTTAAAAATGCTACAAAAAACTGTAAGATAAAATATGCGGTATGTAACAAACTGTTAAGTTAATTAGACATTACTCGTCACTCAAGCTCAAGGGATAAAATTTGCCAAATGAAAGCTGACAATTAGTGACTAAATTTGGGGCTATCATCCAATTTTAATAGCAAGCGGTTCCCGAATTAATCGAAAAAAATTCTTGGTACCTAACCTAAAAAAAATGACAAAAGCATTACTGGAACTTTCATGCTTCATTGTAAATAAAATAAAAGCAATGATAAAAAGACAATGTCAATTTTCTGCAGTGTAAATAGAAAATTGGTGCTAATAAATCCAAATAAAAGATGGTTTTGGGTGGAAATATAATATACTTTGAATAAATAAATCAAATATAAAAAAACCTGTACACAGTAATGGGGTAAATGTTGCTTATACTGTTTCTTCCATTAAGAACAGATATTTTTGACCAAATGGTTAGAAATAAATTACAGAAGACAAATTGAAACGTTGAAAACTCTGGAGCTGTAGTATGAGAGGCCCAAAAAATTTATACTAAACTGTGATAAGTTTTTAATTAAAAAAAAAAACGATCACGTAATGTAGTTAAGGTAGCCTTATAACGCTCAACGTTCTCAAATTAACGCTCAACGTGGAAAGACGGCAGCTATTACCATACGTTTGTATTTAAACAATGGATTTGTCTGCCATTAGTACAGTCTTGAATCATATCGAACATGTTTAGATTAGATTAGGTTAGGTAGATTAGGACGAATCCAAACGTCACCTAAACTTTCTTACTGTTCAGATACAAAACATGTCCAGATGTCATGAATGTATTCAAAACTAACTGTATAAAAAGCTTTAGAAGCTTTGATATTTTATTATATTTTTTTCTACTCAGATTCTTATAGGAATAGGTTTAAAGAAGTTAACTCTACATCAGCAGGAAATAAATAAGCTGCTGGTATTAGAAAGAATGGTTCTTAGAATAATATTTGGATGAATATCAAAGAGATGAATTAAATGACTCTGTATGGCACTGAAAACATCTTCAGACATATAAAAGCTAACCGTTAAGATGAGTAGGGCATGTGGTAAGATCAGAGGAGTACAGAGTGTCAAAAGCAGTGTTTTTTGAGAGACCAGACGGTAGAAGATCAGTAGTCCGTCCAAGAAAAGGATGGAAGAATGATGTTAAAGTAGATTTATCGAGGACTGGGGTACCACAATGGGTACTGGCGCAAGATCGTAGAAGATGGAGGGCTATAGTGAATGCGGCGAACACACCCTGAGTTGTAAAGGTAGTCAAGAAGAAGTTAGTGTTCAGAGCTCAGTTTAGACAGAAAAGAAAAAACAATACGGGGTATGACAAATAAGCAAAATCGGATATCTAAAGAATATGTAAGTTTAACCATGGGACAAAATAAAATAGAACTTTTGCATAGATCACAATTCATCGCATACTACAAAACCCAGAGGCAGAGGCCGACGATGTACACCATTTTACAATCCAACAACCCGGCACAACATGTGTACTCTTTTCGATGGAGAAGACTCGAAATAGTACAATTTAGAAAAATTAGCTACAGTATTTAATTTTAACAAAAGGTCAAATATAATATCAAAAATGACAAATATTTTATTGAAACTTCTACAAAATTTCCAAATATATGAAAATATATATATTTACAATTACTTAAAAAAAATTAAAAATTGAAATATGATATGAAAGACGATGAAATAAAAGATTCAAAAATAAATAATTCAATTACATATACATATTATTAAAACGACTTGTAACAGATACCAAAGATAAATGTTTATGTTAAGAATAACACAATTTGAATATGATTCTGACAATGATAAAACTACTCAATTTGAGGATAATTGTTCAAATGCGGTTTATACCCAACATTAAGTTTTTAAACTCTTAAATGAATTGGAGTTCAAATATATAAGAGAAACAAAACACTTTAATTTCCACAGAATATTTTAGCTTGACATATTTTGCTGAAACACCATCATTTTAAGCTATTTTTGTATTAGCCGTCTGTATACACTATGCTATCCTTATAGCAAACTGAACATTACTTAAGGTTAAGATACGTGTCAAATGAAAGCCTTCAATTATGAGATCAATTTTGTCATAAGCATCAATTTTGTTAATATGCTTCCAGAGATACTCAAAAAAGGCACATGGCTGAGTTTTTACCGCGGTATAAATTCAAAATTGGTGTTAATATGTCCAACAAGAGTCAGTTTTGGGGCAAAATAAATATAATATGTAGTTTTCAAACTATTTAAAGTCAATTCTAGTAAAAAAAGGTTTTTATTATTTTATACATTACAAAGTACCTACGAAAGACAGTAAAAATAGATGATATACGATCAACGCTACTGTCGCTAGCAGATACTTATAGTACGTACAAAGTAACTGTCAAAAAATGGTTAAAAGCACGAGATTTAAATAATCTTTCAAGTTTTCTAAATTTTTAAATTTCATGTGCTATTTTCTTAAATTTTATTTTTTGGTTGTTATACACAATTGAGAAAAAAGGTTATTGAAATCGGAAAAGTCGTTCCCAAGTTATGGCATGATATAGGGAAATTGGAATTCATTTTTATATAACAGATTTATCTTAGAGTTACTACCTAAGGTCGATTTAAAGACTACGTCTCCAGATGTAGTTTACGCTTCCATGAAGTGAATCTACTTAAAATTTTAACATCCTATAAAATATTCAGCAACCATGTAATCTAATACGAATTTAATAACATTTAAAGAGTTTTCGCCCGTGTATTTAGTGGCTTCAAACATGCACACCTAGTAGCAGCACTGAAGATGGATTATTTATTCCGAAAACGTTCTGTGATTTAGTCCGAAAGTGATCTTTTAAATAAATATATCTTTTATAAAGGATTAAAAAAAAATGTGATGTATGGTATACAGACAGCTACAGGAAACTAACTTTGAACTGAATTCCTATGAGGAAGCTGACGTTTCAGGGAAATATGTCAAGTTGACTACACACTGTGGAAATTAAAAATAGTGTTTTGTAAATATTATTTATTGCAATTATTGTTTTACAATCATTTAAAAAAATAATATCACATATCTATAAAAAAATAATATTTATGATTCTGATTGCAGAGCGGAAGCTGAAAATACAATTTGACGAAATATAGATCAAATTTTTGATCATATTTACGTGTTTATTTTAAAAACGACAGCTCCGATATCAGAATTAATAATTGTCATAATAAAATTAATAAAATCATACAATAAGATAAATATACATCCAAAATATAAAGAAAACAACCAACTTTTAACTAATTACAGAAACAACCGGAGGCTCTCCTATCACTATTCTTTTAATTAATCTACATCCATGAACCACAACCGATTTGAGATGTAGTGATTTGATTTACTAGGCCTAAATTCTTTAGCATTGTACAAATATAGCAAGTTGTAAATATATAACTTTAGCATACAATATTTACAAAAAAAATATACACTATGTACGTGGAATTTTACTAATGTAAAAATATTTTATAGTACTGCACCTTATAAGTTCAGCCGATCGCATTGTCGACTATCTGTTCTGCCATTTTTTGAAATGGCGTTTGCCCTATTAATTTAACTCCTGGTACATCCAAACTGCTGAGTTGTTTATCTGATTAACTATAAAATGTCAAATGCTAAATATAACATAGTATTGATAATAGATTAGAATAGCTGCAGATTGTATTGAATATTTGAATTATTTTAAAATAGCAGTCAACTGTCAGATCTGCTATGTAGTAACACACACACATGGAGAGGGCCCTACCTATTTAGGTATTCCACCACCCCCTTATGCTCGTGCATAAGGACCTCTCATTGGAATCTTAGCGAACTATGATATTGCACCTTGATTCATGTATGTGTGTGTCTTCATTTGGCTGTGTCTTTATTTAAAGGAAGTTTTTCGATTGTCTGCATAATCTCTGTGAAATGTTCCATTACTTTTATCTCCATTTTTATTTGGGTGTTCATATTAGCTCAACTTCCATACTATATGTCAAATATCTGTGCAATTCACTATCTATTAAATGATATCAATAAATGTTATATGAACTAGCGGAATTGTGATAAACATACCCACAGTTTGTAAATGAGGAGTAAGTATTTAATATAAGTAAAAATTAAGTCAATTAGCTAATCTAAGTTTAGAGTCCGCGATGAAAAGCGTTCATCAAAATCTAGACAATCAGTTTTCTACAAATTAAATAACCAAAAATAAAATTTATACTATTTGCTAGAAAAAGTCCATAAATCACCACTAAAAAGTAAAACAAAGGAACAAATATTCTTCCGCTAACACATAAAAATCCTTGTCTCGATGTTGATGAAGAACCGTAATTTCCAGGAAGGACTCGATTCACAAAATGTTAATATTCATCAAAATATAAAAAGGTATATTTTCTCCTACACTGACGGCCGATTCCATTGACGAAACAATTGACTTGGTGCGTTCTTTGGCATACATTTTCTTTATGTACAGATCGTGTGAAAACCACTTCTAACTTTCGTTTTTCAGCCTTGTGATTCCCTCTCGGACGTAGCGTACTAGATCAATGAGGGAGCTGTGCATCGTTAAGGGTTTGCACTGTCTGTCCAATTCAATGAAAAAATCTAAAAAAAAACAAATATAATTAATATTACATTTTGATATAATATAGCAATATTGATAAAATTTATACTAATAGGAAAATCGAAAGAGAATAGAGCATAACTGGATACAACTTGCTTATGTCCAATATGTGGACGCTAGAAGCTGGAGGATGATACTAATACAAATTCCCATTTGAAAAGATATGACACAAATGAAAAAGAAAAGAGAATAATATAATATTTGAGTAAATAAGGACATTAAGGAAAAAACGAAGACCACTTAATCAGCAAAACAAGAAGTGGACAGTAGAATCTATGGATGAATAAAACTATCAAGAAAAAAAATAAAGAAGCAAAAAATAAGGAGAAGATGGGAATATGATTCAGCAAAACAAGTGAAATGCTTATGATCAATACTAAAAGAATAGAAATAAATGCCATTAAAAACAGCCACGAAGAAGAAATAAATGACAAGTGAAATAATAGCAATAATGCAACAATATTACTTATTTAATTAATATCAATAAAAACAACAATCACAATTTTTTTGCAGCCATAAATCAAAAATAAAAAAAAACACATTTCAAAAAAGAAGTGAATTTCCAGAATGCAGAATAGTTTTTAACGCCTATTTTTAAAGCGGAAGATAATTCATTGGTGAATAATTAAAGTCAATATAAGGTTGAATGTTCGAATAATTGAACTTTGATGGTATACAAGGCAAATATCGAACACAGTAATTAATTAAATCTTGCCCAAGTACTTTCGATCAATAGATCATCCTCAGGGGCATTTCGTCAGATGTGGCCTATCCGACATGAGCAGAATGCACAAAGACAAACAAACACTTTAAAATTTTTAAAAATGGAGAAGCCACATGTTATATACAAGCCGGAGACAGAATTCATTCATTCTTTCTCCGGCTTCTATATAACATGTAGCTTCTCCATTTTTAAAAATTTTAAAGTGTTTGTTTGTCTTTGTGTATTGTATTGTTATGTCCAAATTTACATGTATATCATACTGCTCATGTCGGATAGGCCACAACTGACGAAATGCCCCTGAGGATGATCTATTGGTCGAAAGTACTTGTGCAAAATTTAATTAATTACTGTGTTCGATATTTGCCTTGTATACCATCAAAGCATTTGAATAATTAAAGGCCCATTAGTATAATTTAGTGTAATACCAAAGATATTTGAATGTTTTGTATGTGACAGATAGTAGACCAACAATTTGGACTTCGGAATAGCAGATCAACCGAATGTAATATTAGTGTTTGTGGACTTCCTGAGGAGCCCAGCCATGGAGAATGCTGTAGGATACATGCACTATACACTAATTTCCCCAGAGCCCTTGATCGGGTCAACCATAATATTTTAATAGTTAAACTTAAAAAAGTGGGTGTTGATGACCCACTTCTTAGATGGCTGAGAACATACTTAATTGACCGAGTTCAGATGGTGCGTATCAGGGATTTTGTTTCCAGTGAGATTAAGGTTTTAATCTCTTTTTTATCGATTTCAAGCAAGTTTAGGTTTCGTTGATAAAAAGATCTTTACCGAGCTCTAAGAGCACTTGAAAGTCAAGAAAAAATGATAGTTTTGGAAAAATAACACTACTAAAAACTGACAATAGAGTGAGGATAGAAAGAAGAAGATAGAAAGAAGAAGAAAATTAAAGCCAAAACAGGATTAAAGCAAGGTGACCAATTGTCAACAGTACTTTTCAATTTCGTGCTGGAGGTAATATTGAGGAACATCAGAATACATACGACAGAAATGGTCTATGACAAGCCAGGTTCTCACATTTGCCTTTGATGTCCTAATATCAACAACAAAAAGGGAATTACTGAAAATATTCAAATTATTTGGGGAAAATGCAAACAATGTTTTCTAGTTATTAAGGAGCAAAAACAAAGTATATGGCAATGGGGCAAAATGGTTATGAGAACACACAACTCAAGACCATAAATAATGAGGGTAAAGAGTATACTTTCAAAAAGGTGCATGAGATGGAATACCTAGTGGTTTCTCTGACAAATAAAGGGGAAGAAAACCAAGAAATAGAAGAGAGGCTTGCGAAAGGAAGAACAGTTGGAGATTGAAGTATACTTTATTGAATCAATTACGCTTCAGGGATTTATATGAAGAAACTAATGAAAATTATACCAATGGAATCCTGAAAGAACCTAGAGGTACAAGCCGAAAAATCTATTTAATATTTACAACACAATAAAATAAAATAACATTTAATAAAACCAATTGTATTTACTTACCGGTATATTTGCCTCTAACGACCAAAGAATCAGCCATCTCCCAGAGATCTTGGTATGACATAAGATATGTAACGTGCTGATTTTGCTTGGAAATGGCATTATAAACAGGAAGAGGTACCCACAAACCAGCGTTCTGTGAGTGTGTAGTTGCGGAGACATTGCCTCTGGTAGCTAGTTCCCCACTGTTGTATCCCGAAGATTGGCTACCGACAGAACCTACCGAACCGGCAGGTGAGGGAGTTGGAGATAGCGGCGAAGGCGTTCCTTGCCCTTGCTGATGGTTCTGTGGATCTAAAGCACCTTGGTTCTGAAAAATAATTTTTTTTTATATATTAAATACATAAATTATTTACATTTTTGCATATTTTCTGTTTCAGTTTCTCCTTCATGAAGTTAGTATCATTTCAAAGACATTTGAGAGCCATGTTCAGATGAAAAGATCTTTGTCCATGAAGATTATGTCTCATTTACACTGAATTATGGTCGATGTCTCTAGTATAAATGTTGTAAAATCAATAATACTTTATCTCTCATACAAATTATGTTTTCTTTGTCTTAAGAAGTAGATTACACGTCCAAAGCGCTCTCTTGTACTTATTAGTAAAAACTTAAAGCTCTCACTTCTCATTAGAAGATATTTTATGAACAATACGAATCAAAAGTATTGGGAGCAAAGATAAATCATTTAAAATGAAAATTAATGTATATTATGCTTACCTTAGTACAGTAGTCAGTGATGATCTTCTGATAATCTCTAGCTTCTTTTGTTTTCAGCTTAAATAATTTATAATATAGGAGAGCTTGGCACCGGTAACTAAAATATTTTACACAAATTAGTATCCAATTAAATATATTAATAAGTATACTCCGGCAATTATTTTTCCTATAATTGCCATAGTAGTCGGTGCGTTTTGGTTTGGTTTGAGTCTTCTTACGAGTCTCTCTGATGACGAGTAGACCCAGAAACACGTGTTAGAGAATGGTAAGAGACTCAATTAAATCGAAACGCAACCGTCTATGTATATTTATTTTAATAAGTTTTCAACCTTCTTACCTTAATACAGCAAGTTTATTATATACAGGTGGGGCATTTTGCTGCTTTCTGAAGTTGAGCGAAATGTGTCTGAAACAACAAATAATAGTCAGTATAAAATATTCAACAAAAGCCATGAGATAAGTACCAAATTCCTCAGATTATAATGAAAGGTAAATTAACACACCTAAGCGTACCACAAAAGTCCTAACCAACAAAATCAATAAACTTTATCAGATGAACAACAAGGATTCAGATCCGAAAGATCCTGCGTAATCGCCGTATATGTACTAAGACAAATCACAGAAAAGGCCATCGAGTACAATAAACCAGCATATCTATGTTATATAGACCTAACAAAGGCTTTCGATCGCATCCAATTGGAAGACGTATACTGTGTAAAACAAACATACCAATCAACATTATACAAACCATCGAAAACATCTACTTCCGTAATCGAATACAGGCAAAGATAAATGGAAAACTAACACAGTGTATACTAGTACAAAGCGAAGTCAGACAGGGTGACTCGTTAAGCCCACTTCTCAACATAATAATGGACGGACAAGCAGTACATAAAGGTCGTGGTTACATAATAGGGAACAAAGAAATCGAAATATTATGTTATGAAGACGACGCCGCATTAATCGCCGAGACAGAAGACGAGCTCCAAAGATTATTACATATCTTCAATACAACAGCCAAGAAATACAATATAGTATAGTATAATTGAAATTGATGGTAAAATACTAAAGCAGGGAGCAAGGTTTAGATATCTGGGAATAGATATAGCTAGTTACGAAGATATTGAAGAAAAGGTACGACAAAAAAGCTTAAAAGCAAGAAAAGAGACGATGAATCTCGTTGCTGAAAAATATAAGACGGTAGACAAAACACTAGAACTGTTCAGAGCCACTCTACAACTTATATGGGTAAAAATAATATATAATGTCAAATGAGGATATAAGGCTAGAAGATGAAGTTACAGAGAGGAAAGGTATTCCTCAAACAGATTTGTGGAATGTTTCATGACTGAAAGTTTTAATGAAAGGAATATAAAATAAAGAAAGGCAAATGGATGCATCTCTAAATAAAACAGTTAAATAGAAAAGAAATCGAAACTTTCAATCGTATTATGATTCAAATTATTAATGTTGCTAAAACAAAAGTTTTTAGAAACCAAACGAGTTCTAAGTGTATCAAATTCTGCTTATAATACCTAATAATAAAAAATTAAATCAGGACCACCGATGAAGCAAATTGGACAAAAGCATTAAACAAAATTGCTAATTTTAATTTCTAAAAAAATTGTATGTACTTACTTGATTAAAGAGAGTGTATCTCTATACATTGTGTAGGCCGATTTTTCTGTAACTCTTTCATGTTCCATGGCATTTCCAGTTAGCAGGAAAAATAGTACAGCCTCAAGGTACAACATACACTGCTTGATAGTATCGGTTTCTTTGTCCGCCATATGTTTAAACCTTTTTGCATCACTCAGGTACAGGTTTTGATCCCTGAAAAAAAATAATATTCTTAATAAAAATGTACTAATCTTTGTACAAGATGAAGAATGTTAAAAAATGGTAATAACCATTTGTATGGGCGTATCATAAATTAGGTTAAAAATGGTTATTTGTTAATAGTCTTTTATGAGATTTGATAGTTGAGAAAAGAAACATATCTAATTTAAATATTCTGTTCCTTACCTTTCGTCATATTCTGAGGGTTGCTCTGGGGTCTCAAAATATGAATGGTACTCTCTAGTAGGTTGAATCTTACTAGCCGAGGGGGTCGGATCAACGTTAGAAGCAGTTGGTAACCGGCTTGCTTCCCGCTCGTGATTGGTGGGTGGAGCATTTGTTAAACTGAGATTTTCTGGTTGAGATCTTTGTACATCATTATTTTTTCGCCTCTTATGCTTAATGTTTTCTTTAGACTTTTCTTTTTCTTTTTTGTGATAGTCCTTTTTATTACTACTATGAGACAAACTACTACTAACTGTTGAGTGAGAAGAAATAGAGCTTGAGCTGTTTCTTCTTTTCCTTTTCTTTGATTTATGCTTATGGTCAGGAGGATCATCTAACTGTGATAAAGGCTTTTTGGTTTCTTTAACCTCTTTAACAGAAGGTTTCTGCTTTACCACTACTTCTTCATTATCACTTTGTTTTTCTTTCACCTTTTCCTCTGGTTTAGATTCCAGTAACCAAGGCTTTGTAGATTCTAAATGCTTCTGAAGAATAGGTATACGACTAATGTTAAATTTTTGTAGATCAATTTTAACCCAAAGTTGAGGTTTCTCTTTACTATCAGTCTTGGATAAACTATTTGGTTCGATGGGTTCTTCAGGCGAAGAAGGACGACTAGGAGGTACCGGAGGACTCTTTTTAACTTCCTTAACTGGGGGAACTGGTTCAACAACTGTCGAGACAGCCGTAGGCATTGCTTCGTCTTCAACAGAAGAACTACTTCGTTCATAATCCCCATCAACAATTATTACGTTTACACCACCTTTTCCTGAAAAAAAAAACAAGTATAAAGCAATTACATTTTTACAATTGAAGATCTCACTAAAATCTACAATTTTTTGTTTAATTAAAATCTTATCAAAATTTAAAATTGAACGAATGAATTTGAATTTAAAATTAATCAAGCGGATTCCGAATAGGCATGAATTATATTGAAACATAATAAATACTTTGAAAATCTCACTAATAATATAAATGATCACTGGAACATCTGGGGATAAAAACACACAAAGTAACTATAAATATTGAGTTCTTGGAGCAAAAGTAATTAAATGTAATGGAAATTTGGTTGAGACAAATTGGTGAAGAGGGTGTTAAAAAATGAAATTTGCTCCTTCTCTTATACATAAAGTACAGAGAGAAGAAGAATCTGAATGGTTAAAAAGAACCTATGAATGTGAAAAGAATAATTCCGAGCCTGCTTTTACTAATTATTTCTTACTAAGTATTTATTATTACAGTGCTATTCATAAGTAATATATATTGTACATACCCTTTCCTCCTTTGCCACCCTTTCCTCCTCCTTTCCCACCACCTTTGCCTCCTTCCGAATCTCTCTTGGGAGTAAACAATTTCCTAAGTGTATCGCTTTTCTTCTTGTCTGCGATGGTTTTGTTTTCATCGACTTTAATTGTCGAATCTATTTTGATGGGAGCCTTCTTTGATGGTGCATTTGTATCACTATCAGAATCACTGACCTTTTTGAGGCATTCTTCAGACGATGACCTCACTCGTTTTGGTTTAACAAGAGGTTTTGTCTGAAACAGTAACAAAGGGATATTTTAAGTCAAAATTATAAAATTATTATTATTAGGCATAAAATTTTGGATCGTTTGAAGGTGGATTCCAAAGGAAAAAAGAAATTAAGTAATATATGAATTTTTGACTGAATTAACAAGTTATAAAAGATATAATTACCTTCGTGTCAGTATCACTAGTGTCTGAAGAGTGTACAAACGCGGCACTTTTAGGTTCAGGCATTATCTTAGCACTTCTTTTCCGCCGTGGAGGTGAAGAAGCCTCTTTAATTGGAGGTTCCAAACCATTTTTACCATCTTTGAAATGGTTCTTTAAAATCACCTTGTTCTCCTTGCCCCATTCATCGTCATCAGAATGCTTTTTGGATCGTTTGCGATCTTCTTTGAATCGAGCCTTCTTGGGAGTTTCCTTTTCAGATTCGTGCCGTATGCTACTGATACTACTGCTGGATTTCCTTCTTACTGGGGCTGGACTGTCAGAATCAGAACTGCTCGTTGAGGCAACTTTGGACTTGGTACGACGACGTGAAGGCGGCGGAGGTTTCTCGAACTTTGGTCTGTCTTCTTCGTCGGATGAGCTCAGCGATCGAACTGCATGTTGCTTTGGAGGACGACCTCTTTTTGCTTTTCGAACCTACAAAGTGGGAAAGATGGTTTAGCAAAATGTATCACATAAGAAACAAATTAATGTGATAAGTTAATATATATCTAATATATAAAAAATATCGAACCACATTATTACCTCAGTACCAGAAGACCCGCTGCGTGATCTTCTAGGTTTATTTACTTTTGCTGGTCGACCACGTTTCTTTACTTCTTTTGGTTCTCCCGTAGCCGGTAATTTATTTTTTCTTGGTCTTCCACGAGGAGGTTTAACAACTTTTTCCGGAACCACGACCGGTGCAGGAGATTTTGGCTTCTTTATCGCTGGACTATATGGTTTAATGGGTTCGGAATCAGAGTCACTATTTGTATCGACCGATTTCGTCCTTGGACTCGCCCGACTCACCGGCTTTATCCTACTAGTCCTTTCGTTTTCTACGTCACTATCACTATCACTAACTGGTGGATTGGTAACTGGTTGTATGGTACGTTTCCGTCTTTTTACATTAACGCGGCTGGTGTCGTCATCTGAATCCGAAAAACTGGACAACAAAGGGATGGAATTAAAAGCCGCAAGAGCTTTTGCTTCTTCCATTACTTTGTCATTCGCCGAATCGCTGGTGTCTGATTCTTCCGTAACCCTTTTAAGTTCATCATCGGAAGAGACTTTAGGTTGAGAAGAAGGCTTTATAGGAGAAAGGAACGGCGAAGTAGCAGTTCCTCCGAAATTTTGGCTGTTCGATGAGACAAACGACGCAAGGTTCCATCGCTGCTCTTCTTCCGCCTTTGGAGACGCCGGTGTGGTAGTTTCTGGAGGTGGTTCGACTCTTACACTAACTGGATGGACATTTTCATCGCCAGAGTCATCGGTGGTGGAGTCGCTATCCGATCCTGAATCAGAACCGGAATCACTAGACGAACTCGCTATAGGCGAAGAAGGCATCGGTGCTAAAGGCTCAGGCGGCCTTTCCATTCTGGAGGTATGAATGGCAGGGGTTGCTCCTAGGGGCGACAACATTCTGAAATAAAAATGCAAATGTTACGTATTTGGCATTTCATTACAAACATTTTAAACAGAGATAACATACAGAGGTAAAATAAAATAAAAATTCATATTTAATGGAAAATTGTATGCTACTTAGTAGAACTGATAAGGAATGTCGTTGTTATAAATAATACTATTAAGATAATAGAAATAGGTGCTCATTAGTTATTGGTTCAATAATGGTTATTACAAACCTTAGATATATAAAAACAGTGACGATAATCCAGGAAAGATAATAACAACACAGTTAACTGCACCGCGATTGTGCCCTGAATATCTAAAAAGCAAGCAACAGCAATGAGAGATAATAGGATTGATAGACATAGACATTATAAATGCTGTCCTTCAGTAATGTATTGAATGAAACTGTCGAAGAACTGAAATAAAAGCATATAACTGCACATTATACATAAAAAGAAGAAGCAAACAAATTTTTGCGAAGAATAAGTCAAAAAAGTTGAATAACACAAGAATTCCATTTAATTAGGATAAAATTTAGTTCATTGCATTAAGTCCATTTAGTTTAAATAAATTATACTTTAGAATATGTGTAAAAGATACAAAAAAAGAACATTTACGTCAATTTTGCTTGAGAACAGTGGATGATTTAGACATTTGGGAACTTCCAACAAACGGGGGGAGGGGGGAATTTTTCAATGAAACGCCAACCAAAAGACATAAAAACGAAAAAAAAATCCAACGTATCTAAAAGACATAAATAATATATATATATATATATATATATATATATATATATATATATATATATAAGGTTCTTGAACTCCTAAGTGGAGCATAGAGCTTCAGTGAAAACGCGCCATCGGGTTCTATTTTGCGCTAAGGCCTTCACCTCATTCCAAGACTTTCCTTGTTTTCTTATCTCGTCCATGATGGATCTTCTCCAAGTTTGTACTGGGCGACCTTTTTTTCGTTTTCCTTGGGGATTCCACTCTAGGGCAGTCTTTGCAATACTGGAGTTATTTTTTCGGAGTGTGTGACCGATCCAACCCCACTTTCTGGACTTTATTTCATTTACTACCCTCTTTTGTTTGGTCAGGTGTAGTAAGTCTTCGTTTCTGATGATGTTAGGCCAGAAAATACGAACAATTCTTCGTAGACATTTATTAACAAAGACCTGCAGTTTGTCTGTAAGGGTTTTTGTCGCTTTCCAGGTTTCACATCCGTAAAGTAGTACAGACATGACATTTGACTGGAATATGCGGATCTTTGTCCTCGTAGTGTATTCTCCAGACCTCCAAACAGGGTTGAGCATGCTGAAAGCTTGTTGCGCTTTTCGTATCCTCATACGAATATCGTCTTCTGTACCTCCGCTTTCTGTTATGACACTTCCAAGATACGTAAAGTTTTCCACATTTTCAATCTGCATGTTATTAATGGTGAATAGCGTGTTGTTTCTTGCATTTATTCTCATGGATTTGGTTTTACCAATATTGATTTTCAAACCTATTTTATTGGCTTCAGTGGAAAGTGTTTCCAATTGGTCAGCCACATCTTGGAACCTTTGTCCTAACAGGCAGATATCGTCGGCGTATTCTAGATCGCTTAGGCGTGTGGTTAACGTCCATTGTATCCCTCTTGTGTCAGAGTCTAGTTTGGAGAGAACATAGTCTAGAGCTATGTTAAAAAGAAACGGAGAAAGCACGCATCCCTGTCTGACTCCAGTAAGTACGTCAAATTCGTCACTGTTGATCCCATTGTGTGTCACGCTGCATTTCGCTTCAGTGTACAGTAACTTGATAATGGAAATTATTTTATGCGGGATGTTTCTTAGCTCTAAAATTTTCCATATTGCATTATGAGATAAGCTGTCAAAAGCACGCTCGAAATCAACAAAAACCATGTATAGGGGTGTGTTCCATTCAACCGATTAACCGAAAAGACATAAATAATAGGTTTTCTTTAATTTTGGACCTTCTTAAGGGAGAAATTTTCCCATTCCCGTACCCGTGTATCCGCCACTGCTTGAGGAAGTTACTGAACAGAAAACGGAGTTGGGAATAGCCAAATTATTTAAAATAGTCAGTTATAGATTAGGATACAGATTGTCATGATAAATTATGAAAGTGAAATTTGTCAATGTTTTTTAGTGACTTTGGTATATTATCATCGTCAGTATATTTAGTAGGTACTAAAACTTTTAGGCAGAGCAATAAAATATTTTAATAATACATGTGGAAGGTACTAAAATAGATATATTATTGCTAATATCACCACAAACACAAAAATACTGATATTACTATGAATACTAATCGTTTTTAAGTATTGCGATAACGAAAAATAGATAGGATCCAGAATTTAACTTACAACAAATGCATTCATCTGATTCCCACATACAAACAGAATTAATGGAGGTAATAATGTTAAAAACATTGAGGGAAGCAATCACAAATACCATAACTGCAGTAACTTTAAATAAAAACAGCCAAAAATAACAGGACAATATAGGATTTAATTTAAGAAAATATAAATTTTGTTACTAATTTTAAAGTAAGTGCAACAATCAAAATAAAAATAATGCAACAATCAAAAAACGAACATCATAATAGATCGATCCCATAGTTATAAACCTCAATTTTGCAGTTATTTCTAAAACGAGATATTGAGCGAAAAGTTTTTCCTAGTTACCGAATATCCAATAATGTTTTATTGCCTGAATTTATAAAAGCATAGTAAACTTAGAGGATACGAGAATATATAATAAAGAATGGCATTTTTATAAATTCACATAAAAATAACTCTCTACTTGATAAACTGAGTATCTGAGAAAGGAATGAACAAAAATCAAACAGAAAACTAGTGTTGGAAAAGTTGCTCTGAAAGTATTAAAATGAAAATAATCCAGATATGGATGTAGAAAATCAACCAAGATGAAAATATCTCACTAAAGAATGTCGAGATTTCAAGTTTAAGCGTGATGCTATTATCAGATATATATAATTAGATAAGAAAAAAAAACGAAATGGTATATTGACTATAAAAAAATAAATGGAATATTTAGGACCCCTTATGAGGAGACAAGACAAAATAAATTCATAAAAAGATGCAATGTAAAATCGAAGTGAACCATAATTATGTCAAGATAGCCGATCACGATAGGAACGGCACAATGAGAAGGAAAAGATATATTAGCTTAATAATAGAAAACAAAGAAATTTACACACAGCTGAACTAATTTAAATAGTAAAATAAATATTAATCACTAATAAGGCCAGCGATACTAGTCAGAAACGTGGTCACTTACATAGAACGACCGAGAATTGCTTAAACGTTTCGAGAGAAAAATTCTAAGGAAAATATATGGAGGAGTCCAAGAACAGGGTTTGAGGCGTAGGTGCTACAACTTTGAGTTATACAGAAGTTTTGGGGAACCTGACGTTGTAAAATGTACTAAATTAGCACGCCTTCGATAGATAGGACATGTAATTAAGCGAGATGAAGATTCAACGATCAGAAAAATTTTCTGACCGAAGAGGACGAGTGGGAAGACGAGTCAGAGGAAGACCAAAACTTAAGTATCAAGATAACATAGACCATGATCTAAAATTCATCGCAGTTAAAGCATGGAGAAGAGTTGCCAGGGACAGGGGCGAATGGAATATTGTTCTGAAGAAGGCTTTGGCTCATAACGAGCTGTAATGCCACTGATGATGATGAACCAATTTAAATGTCTCGGCATAGATTTATCCAGATAACATGATCAAGTAAGAGACCTAGGATGGTAGATAAGTAAGGCCGCAGTCGCATCATGTTTAAGAGATGTTGTCTGGTGTAACCCATATATGCGAACGGACAGCAAAGTTAAAAAGGGATGTTGGTTGCCACTGTTCAAAAAGTGAAACAATATTTTTCCATCAAAATTGAAAGTTTCCAAAAACCATCAAAAAGACAGTACATTAAGAGACTCCAATATTCCATTAAAAGTTTTTGTTATGGTGCGGGTGTAAGCACTCATCCACCTACAGAGAGTTGATGCAACCAACAGTGTGATTTTTTTTTTCTTCAAATTCTGTTTGTCGCCTCACCTCAACTCTCTCCAGATGGATGTATGTTTGCACACATATCATAAACAAAACATTTTTATTGTGGAGACTTGTTTTGTGAGATGTGCTGGCTTTTTGATGTTTTGAAGAACAAAATTGTTTTCCTTTTTGAATAATGAGATCCCTCTTTTATAGCGTAACTTTTTAGATTTTGACTATAGCTATGAAAATGACTATAGATTTGTAAGCCGAAAGTACTCACTTAGCAATTAAATGCATTGATAGAGATGCAGATTGTTAATCGAAAAAAAAAAGATCAATAGGACGACCTAGGAAAAGATGGTACGACAACGTCTGTTGAGGCTCAAATCCGATGTAAAACAGACTTATCCCATTTAAGACAGTAAATAATTATGTATGTAAAATATTATTATTTTTTAATGAATTCAATTCAGTATAAAACTTTTTGTACGTATACTGTAACACGTATTAAAAAATCAGGACCAATAAAATCATTTCATACATTTCATAACAAGCAATCTATTTTTTATAAACGTAAATATAAAGTTCATGTAAGTGGTTCCACTCAGAAACTAATTCTCATATAGCGAAAATTATTTTGGCAAATTTGTCGTGAAATTAATTTTTGAAGTACTGAGCGTACAAGGCAAACGTGACTCGAGGACAAATTTCGTTTAATGAACCTAGTAAAATAAGGTTAGAGACTACATTCCCTATTTCTAAATGTCTACTTCAGTGCTCAGTAAGTTGTACGGTCCATTAAATTTATATTTAATGTAAAATACTCGAGTCTTTTCTGTATGCACATATTTCTAATAGTTATGTGGCTTAAAATATTTGCGAAAGGTACGGAATATATAGCTGAAGTTGATTTGGGACAGTCAAAGCTTAGAAAGATTCATTCGGTGCTCGCTAATTTTTTTTTAAGAAACAGAAATCATTTTTTTATATA